TATGTAAATATATATGTACACACACACACACACACACACACACACACACACACACACACACACACACATGCTGAGAAACAGGAAGAGAAACAATTATGGGTTGTCAAGCCCTTGCATGAGACATGCCACTGACAGAAAGAAAAGTTTGCTGACATCACGAAGTCTTATTAGTGGTTACAAAAGGCTTCCTTAAATGACAGCACAGAAGCTCTGATAATGGCAGCACAAGAATTGGCCTGAGGCACCAGATTCATAGTCCGTCTTTGTATCTGCCATCATCTCCGGCTCTTGACAGTAGAAACCAGTCAACTCAAAAACAGGAAAGTACTTTAAACTTCACAGGGTTTTAATGTTTTGCGTGCAGCTACACATTTAGGTGACTTTGCTTTTTCATTTGTGCTGTTAACTTTTTTTTAACAAAACAACAAAAAATGATACAGTAAGAACCGCATACTGCTATAGTTCCTGTGGGGATCATTTCACTCACCAAAACAGCAGATAGATGGTCCAAAGCAGTAGAATGATGATGATGACAGAAGTGATATACATCAACTGTCTAATTTTCAGAACACAAGGCCCCTGATGATTTTGATCGTTTTTCATTTTAGCTCAAATTCGTTTCGGTCCAGGTCGTGAAACCTGCACAAGCAAAAGAGAGTGAACAATTTTTATCTTGTCCTCAAGCAACTGCTTCTTTAATACGTTTGCTCTAACTGTCTGTCTAACTCTTCTGCTGCACGACCTGAGCAGAGCAGAAATACAATAAAAAAATCTTCTTATCTTTCAGAATGTGGGTCTCCTGCTCAACTCAGCGAGCTATACCAGCACCTCAAAGTTTAATTCATGTTTTAATCCTTGTTCTGGTCCACATTTGGGTGAACTTCAGAACTGAAACTTAAGTGTAAGGACAACACTAGTTTTGCTTTGAGAGTGAAGTGGCTGTGTCATGCTACAGTAATTTCAACCAAAGACCGAAGGCTTCTCATATCTTCCATTGTGCTGTGTATACACAGTATGTCACTATATGTGTGCATATGTCACATTATTACTTCTTTTTGGTGTATCACACAGCTCGAGCTTAAAGACAGAGCAGTGAATGCTTTAACCTACCATAATTAGTAGGGGTGGGGGAAAAAATGGATACTGTGTAGCATGGTGATATTTTGTTTGCTAATAATGTATGGA